ACTCATCCTCATCACCCTTGGTGATACATCCAACTATAGCAGAGTCATCAGAAAACTTCTGAAGATGGCAGGTCTCAGTGCAATAGCTGAAGTCCGTGGTGTAGAGGGTGAAGAGGAAGAGAGAGAGGACAGTCCCATGCGGGGCCCCGGTATTGCTGACCACTCTGTCTGACACACAGCGTTGCAAGCGCACATACTGTGGTCTGCCAGTCAAGTAGTCTACAATCCAGGACACCAGGGGGGCATCCACCTGCATTGCTGTCAGATTGTCACCCAGTAGAGCTGGACGGATGGTGTTAAACGCACTAGAGAAGTCAAAAAACATGACCCTCAAATGGACGTAGATGCGGTTGAGCAGGTAGATGATGGTGTCTTCAACTCCAAGTCAGGGCTGATAGGCAAACTGGAGGGGGTCCAAAAGTGGCTTGACCATGGGCCGGAGCTGCTCCAAGACGAGTCTCTCCAGGGTCTTCATGATGTGGGAGGTCAATGCCACGGGTCTGTAGTCCTTGGAGCCACTGGGACGCGGCGTCTTTGGCACAGGAACGCGGCAGGATGTCTTCCACAGCAAGGGGACCCTCTGGAGACTCAGGCTCATGTTGAAGACATGCTGAAGTACTCCACATAGCTGGGGGGCACAGGCTTTGAGCACCCTGAGGCTGACACCATCAGGGCCTGCAGCCTTATTTGAGTGGTCTCATCAGCTGTCTTCTCATATGGTCAGCAGTGAAGCACATTGTGGAGGTGACGACACGTGGGGGAGGGGTGTAGTCCTCATGATGGACAGTGCAGTCAGTCTGGCCACGAGGGGAGGAGAAGTGAGGCGGAGGAGGGGGGGGAGGGGTCAAGCAGGAGGGTGTTGGGGTGTGAGAGGGAGGAGTGGGGGAGGAGGGCGGAGTGCGAGATGGTTGACCAAGACAGACAGCAGAAGATTCGGGGGGGGGGGGGTTGTAGCTGTATGCATCTTTGGCATTTGCATACAGCAAGTCCAGTGTTCTCTGCTGTCTGGTAGGACAGCTCACATACTGTGTAAATGTGGGCAAAGTTGTTTCCATGGTGACATGGTTGAAGTCACCCGAGATAGCTATGAAGGCACTCGGGTGTTTAGTCTGTAGGCGGGCTATGGTGGAGTGAATGACGTCACATGCCGACGTCGGGTTGGCAGAAGGGGGGGATGTAAACAGTTACAATAATGGCATGTGAAAACTCCCTGGGCAAATAATATGGCCTGAGTCCAACAGCAAACAGTTCAATGTCCGGGCAACAGATTTGTTCTTTAATGGAAATATGGTCAGGACTGCACCAGCGGTTATTTACTAGAACAGCAAGCCCTCCTTTGTGCTTACCACTCTCGGTGCAGTCCCAGTCGGCCCGAACAGTCTGAAAGCCGCTGATGGAGACGTTGTTCTCGGGAATGTCCTGGTGAAGCCATGTCTCAGTGAAGCACATCAGACTACGTTCCCGGTACTCCTTCTGACTCCTGGCGACCGCTGTTAGCTCGTCCATCTTATTTGCCAGTGACCTCACGTTGCCCATGACGAGAGAGGGGAGACACGGCTTATATCTTCTCTTCTCTTCTCCATAAGCCTCCGTTGTCTCAAATCTGCTTTTTTGCCGCCGCTGTTTACTTCTTCCCCTGCATGCTCTGTGTGTTTTCCTCCACAATTCAGCTGGTATCTCCGATGTTCCGACCGCCAAGCCGACCAGCCTCAGCACGATCAGCTGATCTCTGGAGTAAACAATGCGGCCATGAAGTTGTTGTGCAATGGTGCCGGGTCCGAATGAAAAAAGTAATTCCAGAGTGAGGAAAATGAGCACAACTCTCTCAATCAGCATGTTTAGAGAGGGCGTAGTTTCAAAATGCCAGTCATAAAAAAGCAAGCACAAATACCAAACTTAATAAAGCAAAACAGTAGGAAAACTAAGAAAACAAGCAGGAGCGACTGCAACAGGCTGCACGTGCGGGCGCATGCGCACTATATGAATTTGTTTTACTGGAGGAGAAATTAATACTGCTTGTAGATGTTTGAAGTTTCACATAGAAAATGTTGTGTATATATTCACAGTTTGTGAATCAGTCTCTAAACGGTTAAACCAGTTATTACACAATCTTGGTAAACTGGGAATATTTTTGGTGAGTTTGTTTGTGTCAAAGTCAGAGAGCTGTGTCTCTCTACAGTGAGAGGTTTTTTGACTTTTGGTGGAGGAACCAGACTGGATGTTGGAAGTAAGTCAGTGTTTAAAATGTTTATTTTTTTCAGCAGCCACATTTTCTTTATATTATATATTTAACAGGCAAGAAATAGTAGATGCCTTTCCATTTTGTCTGTAGACATATTTTGCATTAAAGGACACAGCTAGCTTTTGAATGAGAAAATCAAAAGTCCATTGTAATGAAAATAAAACATGAAGCTAGAAGATAAATCTTTATTTCTTATTTTAATGATTAAGTTTCATCTTGAGGGCTTGTAGGTTTAGTTCAGTGTGTCAAAGTCAGAGAGCCGTGTCTCTCTACAGTGAGAGGTTTTTGTACGGCGGCTCAATGAATTTGTATCACTGTGGTGGACTTTTGGTGGAGGAACCAGACTGGATGTTGGACGTAAGTTTCTGCACAAACACTAGATAAACTGTTTCAAAATTAAGTTTAGAAGTCTGTTTTGTAATGTCTGCAATAGATAAAAATGTTTTAATTTTGAAAGTAAAACTTAACTTTTATGTTTGAAGTCAGAGCAGCTTTAATCAACATTTCTTTGTACATTTTCATCATACTTTAAGTCAAACAGGTTGAAATGTAAATGAGATAAAACTGCAAACCAGTTTTACAAATGTTTATCAAGATTATATTCTTAATGTTCCACCTCAGTGATAACTATTTTTTTCTAAAAAATTCAGAATCAACTTTTTAGGACTAAACTAACGGTGATTGATTCATGTGGTTTCAAATTTTGAAAATCTTTTGAACAGTTTTAATGAGAATTGACATCAACATAAAGAACATTTGATTGTAGGTAGTGCAGTAATATATGCATTTGTTATGCTTGCACAAAAAAAAATGTAAAATGCATTTTACTAAAGTAATGTATCGTCAATGTTTGGGAGGAAAATGTTTAATAATTTGTCTAAATTCTGATATTTTATGTCCAGTGTAGTTTGATATATTTGAGGTCATTCTGTATGATGATTCTCTCTGTGCTGATTTGCATGAGAGGCTTCTTAAAGGGAAGTGAAACAATGTGTGAGTGAGTGACTGATGGAGCAGAAAAACCATCTGACAGAAACTCCTTAAAGGAGAAAATCAACTCTCACACAGTAAAGGTGTCCAAGTGTCTGATGGTTGATTGACAGCTGTGTGGTCCCTGTCCTCTAAGCTGATTGGTGTCTCCTAGGTGATGTCCGTCCCACCCTGACGGTGCTGCCCCCCTCCAGTGAGGAGCTGCAGCAGGGGAAGGCCACGCTCATGTGTCTGGCCAACAAGGGCTTCCCCTCAGACTGGAGTCTGACCTGGAAGGTGGACGGCAGCAGCAGCAGCAGCAGCAGCAGCTGGGAGGAGAGCAGGAGCCCTGGGGTGCTGGAGAAGGATGGAGTGGTAATTTTATTTCTCCCAATTATAAATAGCAATGTGTGTAACTGTCTATCATAACCCAACAATAGCTTAATTAAGCTAGGCTATAAAATAAAACATCTTCTGTCACTTTAGCACACTGTGCTTAGCTTAGCTTAGTTCAGCTTTTACAGCCAAGCATCAATCTAGCAGGCATCATGTAATTTTTTGGCATGTTAATGAATATACGAGGCCCCACCATCATCAATATTAGACTAAAGTAAAAATTTCACCCATGTATTATTAGTTAAATTTAACCAGGCCTAAACATATCTGCAAGTCTTTTAACTTTTTATGAGGATCATGCCAACACACAACATTAGTAACAGACTATCCTGTAATCTGCTCAGATGTCAGATAACTGTTCATAACACAGAATTCGCATCTATTAAAATTCAGTTTAGTCACATTGTGAATGAGAATGTCCTTACACAGGTGCACCTGTGAAGAATGCATTACGATGCCCACAGAGGAGCAGAATGTTTGCTGCAAATAAGTAAATGCAGTAAGTAAATAACACATATATGAATACACAACCAGCAGAGTACTAGATAGCTCTAAAACAGCATATATCACATATGCCAACAGGTCCAGAATAGATGTGGAGAGCTGCCCAAAGAGCCGAGGTGCATGACCCTTCATCCAGGCCTTGAACCTGTGTGCCTGAACCCCTACTCCCTTCAGAATGCACTGAATGTATACCAGGCAGACCATGGGCCTCTGGACATACAGGAAAGAGCTGCATAAGTTAGACAATAAAATATATTTTATTGACATTTAACAAATTTATGCTTTCATTAGTGATCTTGATTAATGTACTCCACTGGAAAATAAAGTATGGGACTATAATAAAAATGTGGAATGAGGATCAATGTAGACTAATATAATTTTCTTGTTATATACAGACAATGTCTATTATGTGAAATTACACTTTAGCTCTATGATAACAATGCACAGCTTGCTTTCATGTGGTGCTTTTATATATAACATGACAGCAATCTGGAATATAATAAAACAGATGTTTTAATACAAGCAGGGTGGAGGCTGGTACACTAAACCATAACCATTTGTTAAATGTCTATTGACTAACAGCCTTAAACAAGGTTCCCACACAATACATTTTCAAAACTTTTCCATAATATTTTACCCCATTTCCATGACCTAATTTAAGTAGTTTAACAAAGCCCCCACAGTGACTATAGGTCAACATGTTTTAACAAAGATGTTGTCATTTCCTGTATTCTGAAGTCTTTAACAGTTGTTTAGACTCTTTGATCTGACTATACTGTAAGAAAAATGATGTTTACATTTTATAATTACATCCAGAGCAAGTGTTTGGTCCCACTTCACATATTAGAAGATATTAAAAAGATAAAAATATATAAACTGATGATTAGTATATTCAGGTTTAATTAATCTACTGAATTTTGATAAGTGTTGGGTCCAAGTTAATGCAGCCTGTCTTATATCCATTATCTTTGATATCAGATCAGATCATCACTAATTCAGAACTTTTCCAAAATATTCACATAATTCCAAACCATTTCCAGACCTGGAAAACTGTTTGATTTCATGACTTTTCCAGGAATGTCACAACCATGGGAACCCTGAAACTTAAACAAGCCGATGGTGAAAAAGATCAATAAGGAAATTTATCTGAACACAAACAATAACCTGTAATTATAGGTCAGTAATTGATACCTCCTGTTATGATGATCCCCTCTTCTACCCATTGTTTGTACAGTGCTTTTTTTATCAATGTCACCAGAAACCAATGGATGATATGTCATTTGGACAATTACATGAAATTTTAGTAAAGTAAAAAACTATCCATTTCATCACACCTCCATACAGGCTACATGATTTGACACAGGCTGCAGGTTGATGAATCAGAATGCCATCTTCTGGGATCCTGTTCTGTAAGACATTATAAAAAATGGAGAGAAAATTAAGACATGTAGAATTCTCATGTGGCTTTACTTTTTCTTTTTCATCACAGCCGTGCTAGATACCTGGCCTATCGAAGTTTTGTATCCTGGTGCTGGGGATACCTGGGCAAGCATAACCGTGTGGTCATACCCTCCTGTGTTGTGTGCTGCATTCAGGAAGTGTACCCTGATGAAGATAGGGAATACACAGGTTTCAAACCACCAATATAAAAATAGAACAAAAATAAATAAATATCATATCGTATTGTGTGCTTGATATTTGTTATTTAATATTTCATACTTGATAATTTCATAAAAGCATTGAACAATTATTTTTTTGAGTAATGATATGTTTGTAATTGTGTCATAGCTGACTACATTTGAGGCTAGTGGGGCTGTAGTGCAGGAATGGGCTGGAGCAGGAAGAGGTTTAACAAAGCCCAAACAAGTAATTATATAATAAACAAGTAATAGGAAAGAGTATGACAAATAACCAGTTGTTATCTGCAAGTTTTTATTCACCACCTACACAAAAGAATTATTTGAGAAAAATCATTTGACATAATTAAAAAAAAAATACTGATAGCCCATCATAACATGAACCCATGACCCACACTAACCTAATGGGTAATGATCCGACCCTCTTCTCTATCAGTAACTGCCACATCTGCTGCACAGTCCGATGGTGGGCCACCTGGTGCTGGAGCTGCTCCCACCCCACCTGGACAGCTGATCCTGGACACATGTCTGGCAATTGCATCTGCCTTCTCAGGCCACTCATACTGTGAGCACAGGAATCCAGGAACAGCCACTGCTCTCAGCTCAGCTGCAAAGGTCCCAGGGTCATGGATGACCTTGTTAAAGAGGAGGTCCATAAGCTCTGAGACATATTCTAAAACACAGAAGACAGCACAAAGCATTTATAGTTAGTTAATTCATGTGGGCTAAACTGTTGGCAATCTATTGCCAAAGTAACTGCAATTACATTTTTTTTTTTACTTTGAATTCTTGTTTACAATTTTGACATGCTGGCAAATGTAGTCCAACACCATGTCATTCAGGTGGTGCATAAATCTCGCAAGTAGTAGTAGTATGTTTTGAATCATTCACAGATGTAACAGACAATTGATAATTAACTAACCAGTAGTGTATTTGGTTTTCACCATGGACACAACATGTCCCCCTCTCTTGGCCTTGGAAAATTTGATTTGGAACCGGAGTTCTCCTGCTGCAGTCCTTGCTTGGGAACGCCCAGAATTTTCATTGAAATGCAAGTAAAGGTAAAGCCTGAAATGAGAAGCATTTGGATGGGATTATTTAATTCAAATAGTAAAGGGTTGAAAACTACAATTTTACATTGTTTGTACCATAAGTCCTATGTAAAGCAGACTCCTAAATAAAAATTTCTATGTGTAATAGTATCACTCTAGAGCACAGTTAATACAAAATATTAAAAAAGTGAGAGACCAGGGCTGCACTCCAGTATTACATTTTTATATTGCCACAGAAACAAATACCCAGCGTCAATGGTCTAGTTGTGAGCACATGTTGAATGTTATGTACTGCATAATATTGACAATATGAGTACATACAATTTACCTGCAGAGCATCCCTAAATAGGAGAATGACACATTTTTTGGTGCAAACTGCAGAATGAGATTGTGGAATACCTCCAAAGTTGACGTCTGATACAAAGGACTCAGCTTTTTAACATCATCAAGGATGTGCTTGTTGAACAGGATTTTCTCGATCTTGTAGGTGGCCTTTGTCGCTAGAGTTGGAAAGATAATATTAAATAAATAATAGATTAAGAGTGCATAGCAGCTGAAAGTATAATATGCAGATCTAATGAACTGCTGTAAAATAGTGGCATACCCAGATTCAGCCACTTGTTTTTATCAGTGGAAGGTGGGTGGAGACACTTGGGGAACAGTGGATTTTCGTGGACATGGACATCCTGGATGTAGTTTAGAAGGGATGTCCATTTTGCCACAGTTTCCTCTCTACTGGATGAACTGGATGCTGACCAGTAGAGGTGATTTGACACACTCTTTTGCCATTGTTGGATCTTCTTGCAGTCCTTTTCTTTTGCAAGTGCATCCATTTTCTTGTTAAGTGCTGAGAATAGTTTGAAAAGATGAGATGCGATATTAATGTTGCACAGTATTAGCTTTGCTAAATATATTTCTATAGACAATATTTTTGAAATGATCTTACCTTTACATAAATGCCAAACATCAAAGAAATGCTGAATTTCTGGTTTATGCTCCAGGAGAAATTTTTGAAATTGTGTGTGTCGGTCAGTCAACAATGAGGTGACTTTGACACCAGCACTTTCAAGGAATCCAAGACTCCGGATCAGCCCCTCTTTCTCCATCCGTACACTGCCTCCAACTTCATTGCTCTGTGGATCAAAGGTCAGCGTGCACTAGAGTTGCCTCCGATAATGCCTCCGATACTGCCTAAAATGTGGCATCGGGCATCGGCGAGAACAGCCTATGACGAATCCAATACCACGTCATTACGCATACGCACGCTATCGTTTGAACATCGTGATGTGCGCATGTGCGATAGTTACATAGCAGGACATGTGATGTTTTCTCTTTTTCTAAAACATGTAAACTTTTGTTTTGCTTCAGAAAAGCAGCTCTGCAGCTCCGCTCGCCTCTCTCTCTCTGTCTCTCCCTCTCTGAGCATGCAGCAGCCCCTCCCCCTCTCATGCACGCGCTGCAGTCACACACTGAAAATGAGCGACATGCAAGAGAGAGAAACGATAAAGGAGGATTTATGCCTGGTACACATTACAGGACTTTTCTGACTGTTCTGAAAGTCACTATGTCACATTACATGATTGTGGAGTCATAAAATCGTGCCGTGACTTGGCTGACAGATATGACACAGCACAAGCTGGTACTCACCAATTATCCCCGGTCGTCTTTCACAACGTGTGTGATGTCATCAGGTTATTCTTGTCCTATTTTTATTACTTTTACTATTATTTCAGTCACTGTGTCTGTTCATGTGCCAGCCGACATGTTGTTGTAGTCACCTAAAAGCGTCAGCAGATGGCAGGAGCTACATTTGAAGTGTGTATGTAAACATAAAATCTACTGTATCTTCCACAACCAAGTTCCTACAAATGTTTCAGAATAAAAGCTTATTTAGAAAATGGAGGAATTCTCTCAGCCGAGATTATAAGGGGCTTTTAATTTGAAACGAGTTCAGGAAGTGTTGAGTTTGAAATAACGGCGCCATGCATTAACTTTATCAAGGCAACGGGAGTGGATAAAAAGTAAAAACATAAAGATACAGAGGGATTAATAAATAACGGCCCTTTTATAATGTAGTCTGTTTCACATGAAGCTGGGAGCCTCTGCAGTTATGGTGAGGAAAAGCCCTGCCACTATTTTTTAATTTTCTTACTTTAAGTCATCTGGTGAAAATTCTTGTATTTTTTAATATTGCAATATAGATTGCAAAAAAAAAAAATATTGCGATGTCAGTTTTTTCCAATATCGCACAGCCCTACATTCTTGTTGAGAATTTATTTGAGGAAACATGTTTATTAAGGATTAAGGATTGCTAATAATTTAATATGCATGTTAAAAACAGTTGATGTGAGGAACAATAAGTTAAAAACACATTTTATTTGGGCATTTGATTTGAAGTAAAAGGTATAAGTTCATTTCTCAGGAAACTGTATACATTGTATTAAAGGGGACTTCATTTCCCAGAATGCTCAGAGCGAGCACGCATATGCCGTAATGACATCAGTGTGTTTATGTTAGCTGAGCCGCTTGTTAGCGTGTAAGCTGTACTCCCCGTTTTCATGAGCAAACGTGTACACCATTTTTTTTGCACTAAAGATGATTCATGCAGTCAAGTCCGGAGTCTGGTCTCATCATTTTTAAGGTCATAAGAACAAGTTACAACAATTCTACTGTAGCCTTTAAAATGTCTTTTTTACCAAATTGTGTGGCTGCACTTTAACCTGTGTCTTGATCTGTGTCAACACTGGATAATAATAATAATAATAATAATAACAATAATTATAATAATTATAATAATAATAATAATAAAAAGTTTTACGGTATTCATTCTACTATTATGCATTTATTTCTTAATATTTTACATAGAGTTTTAGGAGTTGAGACATACAACAATTCATATCCCATACATTTTTATTTTACGCGCTGGTATTGGACCAGTACTTGGTATCGGCAGATACCTAAGGTTCAGGGAGATAACTAAGGTTCAGGGATCGGAATCGGTTTCGGGAAGGAAAAAGTGGTATCGGTACAACTCTAGTGTGCACAAGACATTTGTTTGCTCAGATTAATATTTTTGCTTCAAAATATAAAGTATGTGCAGTCCCACAGTATGTTCAACAATGTCGTACATTTTACTTCTTGCAGTGTTTTATATTGTAACAAAAAATCTGTTTTTGGACACAACATGGTCCCAAGTAACATACAGTAGTTGTGCTGATACAATCAAGAGAGTAATTTTTATATTTACCTGTACAAGCTGGATATCAACTATTTTGTTTGAGCAAAGATCCACCATAGACTATGAGCCATACTTCGCACAGTGGCCTGGACTGTCAGCCCTCATATCACCACCAAGTGACACAGTGTCTCTTTCTTTCAGTCCTTCAAGCAGGTCAGTATGATGTGATCGCCATTTATGTAGGACGGATGGCAGAATGAAGTGGTGCCCATGATTTTGATGTGTCATCCTTGTAAAGGTTTTCACATGCAAAGCTTTCCCGGATCATTAATCAAGCAAGCAAAATAACTGGCAAAACTCAAATACAGTTATCAGCACTCCACACCCAAGTAGTTAAAAGGAAAGCCAACCTCATTACACAGGATCCCGCCCACCCCCTGCACAAGTCCTTCCAACTCCTGCCATCAGGCTGCTGCTATAAAGTCCCCCTATCTAAGAAAAACATCCACAAAAACTCATTCATACCAACTGCCATAAACATCTTAAATAAACAATGAACAATGGACAAAAATAACCATGATGCACTATGTCACTTTACACATATCCACACCTTTTTATCTTGTCTATTTTTACAATTTTAATTTTATACTTGTTTTTAAGATCTATACACACTGTGTGTGCTTTCAGAATCTGTGTTGTGCGATTGTTTCTAATCAGTGTATTGTCTTGTCTTGTCTTGTATGCGGAGCCATGTCGAAGAAGATTTTCTGTTACGACAGACAATACAGTTTTCTTAATCTAAATCTGAATGCATTGCATTGAGCACCTGAAAGTAACATTAGAATGTTCATGTACGTAGTGTTCATGAGTGCATTTACTATTTCCCACTGCAGCACTATGGAGTACACTATCTCACAGTGTAAAATAAGATTTTACGTGGGAGCAGGTGGACAAAAAAGATGAAGCTGTTGGAGAAGGCACACTTTTTTTTAGATAAAGTCATTATATTTACTAACCTTATTAGTCTGCACAAATGATGAGCCTGTGTAATAGACAGCAGCTGACAGTTGTAGATTCCCCGCAGGATAGCTGCCCAGAAGTGGCTGACTCCTCCATACTCTTCTGTAGAGGCAACTCTCATACAGGCACTTTTGAGTAACAGAGAGGAAGCTGTGTCTATCTTGCATGCTCTTGAGCAGGTGGGGCAGTTTTTAAACAGCTCAAGCAGGCAATCTTCATACACCAGGTACTTTGTAATGTCCTGCGGTGTCTTTGTTAGTGCTCTTTTGACAAAGAAAACCACAAGAACAATTAATATTTGTTACAAAGTTATTATTTATATTTTCATATATTATTTCTCACTTTCACAGTTAATTTCCCAAAAAAAAGCAAAGTTAACTTACTGATCACCAGTGTTGGTTAAGGGTTACTTTAAAAGTAATCAAAGTACGTTACTGCGTTACTTTCTAAAAAAGTAACCAGTTACTTTACTGCGTTACTCCCTGAGTAAAGTAACTCAATTACTTTAAAAGTACTTCCAACGTTACTCCCTGAGAAAAGTAACTCAAGCACTTTTAAATTACCTTTGAGTATTCTACATTTCCTATTGGGCAATGGACCACAGGGCGCTAAGCCTACATTTTTTGTCTCCAAAATTAAAGTTATGGACCACTTGCCCTTCACTGAGATCCAATTCTCCCATCACAGCTGTCACTTTGACCAGTAGAAACACAGAACGACCTGCTGCCATAGACAACTGTAGCTATGACAACAACACCCCAGCATTTTTAATATTTCCTCTAGGGATGTTACCACACAGAGTAAAAGGGGGAAATGATGGTGTGAAACAGCAGAGGCACTTTGTCAACCCGCTGAGTTAACGTTACTGTCATTAGCATCAAGCTAGCAAACAATGGTACATCCTCACGGTCGGACAT